GGAGGCCTTGTGCTATGGGTTGGTGTGTAAATGGCCAAGAACCAAGAGTGTTTTGAGGCTTGGAAGAGAGGGAGATGGAGGATTGTATGCAATGGCCCTAAACAATTTTTTGTAACCCTTAGAAATGGAGGAGAGTGCTGGTTTTAAAGAGGGAGAGAGGCCAAGGAAAGGGGGGGGGAAAAAACAAATTCAAATTTTCCCCCTAAAAGGCAGCCTCTTGGATACAAAATCTGGGGGAAAACAAATTGCACAGTTAGAACACACTTGGAGAGAGGATCATGGCCGGCCAGGTTCAAAAGGTTCAGGTGGTCGGCAGGCCACCCCCCTAGTCGACCGGCCAAGGATCAAAAGGGTCAATTAGAATTGCTGGCCGGCCACCCAAAGAAGGTGGCCTCCCATGTGTGCACAACACAAATATGTGGTCAAAACCTAGAAAATGTGAACCAAGAGAGAGAAAAACCCACTTTTTAGAGGGGTTCAAAAGGGTCAGGTGTGTACAACACAAATATGGGGTTTAGGGCTAAAGAAAGTGGCCCGGGAGTGGTCAACATTAGCTTTCTAGTGAGGAAAACGGGCGACGGAGAGCGATGAAGAAATAAAACTGGCTTTTCAGAAAAATTGCTAGCCTCCCACCCTCCTACAAGCTTTCTAACAATGAAAATAAGGTCTCCACCAAAAATGAACCAAAACGGATGCAAAACGGAGGTTCGGGGACCGAAACGCGCGGCCCAGGGCCCCGAAAATGGGCTGTTAAGCACCGGAGGTGGCATTCGACCACGAAGTTGGTCTCTCGAGCCACAGTGTCCCCCAAAAGGGAGTAAATAAGATGTATACCAAAAATCGGAGCAAACGGAGGTGATCAGGCGGTCCCGAACCGAGGCACACGGCCGACGGCTCTGAAAAACCGGAAACCGGGCTCCAAACGGGCAAAATGGCCTACGACCACGAAACGTAGCCTACGGATACTGAGAGATGGTCTACGAGACCTCTCCCTCCCTTCGGGAAGAGAAAACGGAGAAAACGGGACCTGGTTCGCAAACTGAGGCAAAACACGAAAGAGTCTAGAAGTCCGGAGGCAAGGCTCGCAGCCGAGACTCTGAAACCTCAGAACGAGCACAACACGCAACATCACCGATCGCTCAATCAGTGACGTCTAAGTCTTAAGGTCCGTCAAAAATGGGGTGTCTACAGTGGATTTAAGAACGGATTGAATTGTTTGTGACCCTTTTGTGTTCATGGAATGTGTAGGGTCGAGCTCTAGGGCAAACCAACCAACCAATCACTGTGAGCAATATCTTAACAAAGATATCTGAAATATGTTGCTGTCCAAATTATTTACTTCTTTGTAAGTTTTATAAGCTCATTGATCCGATTGGTGGACAATGTTGCCATGCCAAATGAACGGGCCAGAGGCCGTTTTGACAAGAATGAATAAATAGGCCAGAGGCCGTTTTGACAATAATGAATGGATGGGCCAGAGGCCGTTTTGACATGAATGAATGGGCCAAAGGCCGTTTTGACACGAATGAATGAATGGGCCAAAGGCCGTTTTGACAAGAATGAATAAATGGGCTAGAGGCCGTTTTGACAAGAATGAATGGATGGGCCAGAGGCCATTTTGACATGAATGAATGGGCCAAAGGCCGTTTTGCCACGAATGAATGAATGGGCCAAAGGCCGTTTTGACAAGAATGAATGGATGGGCCAGAGGCCGTTTTGACATGAATGAATGGGCCAAAGACCGTTTTGACACGAATGAATGAATGGGCCAGAGGTCGTTTTGACAAGAATGAATGGATGGACTAAATGTCGTTTTGACATGAATGAATGAGCCAAAGGCCGTTTTGACACGAATGAATGAATGGGCCAGAGGCTGTTTGACAAGAATGAATGGATGGTCCAGAGGCCGTTTCGACTTGAATAAATGAATGGGCCAAAGACCAATTTGATACGAATAAATGAAAAAACAAAATGTGAATTGGGTCCAAGGCCGTTTGAAGCATGTTGTTCTACATACCGTTTGTATAACTCCTTTATTTGATATTATTCACTGGGGTTTCGCTCACGCTTATTCATGTGTTTGTAGGTGAGCCAAGAGAAGTCCAAACCCGGCCCCAGTGAAGTCTGTGAGGAACAACAAAGGTTTTGAAGAGTTAGCCCTTGCGTTTCACGCACGAGACCCGACTTCGCCTTTTTGTCATTCTGTTTTATTTTGGTCATGTGGCCGAAGTCTTTGAATATGTTGTATACAGTTTTCTTGGGTTGACTTAGACTTATATGATCCTATATGTACAGAACCTTGTGTAGTACATATTTTGCTGTGAGTTATTAATATGCATACGTATGGTTTGTTATGATGTGCCATGTAAACACAGCTCTATGGATAAAGCTTTAAACTGCTTTCGTTTGGCCCCCATTAACTCTGTTCAAATACGTTTGGTTTGGTTGGAGGCCGTAGGTAATCTCATGATTATTGGCCGGTTATGTCCTCAACCCACGGGGGCGGGTTCGGGTCATGACAGTCTTCTCGGTTTCTTGAAGTAACACAATATCCACTTTTCTATCTAAAAGGCTTTTCTTAATCCTCCTCATTTTTTCAGGTCTTCCAATTCCTCTCACATTCCATGATTGTATCTTTATGAGTATAAAAATCACTCTTGCCATAAAAATCTAACTTGCCTCCCATTCCTTCTTCCTTACTCTCTTTTGATCTTGAGCTTCCAAATCCTCTAACTTGCTCAACACCTCCTCTTCTTGACCTTTACAGTCTAAGCCCAGAGCTTTACCTATTTGTATAGATGCCTCTGCCTCTGATAACACTCTTCATCCTCTACTATTTCCACTTGCCATGGATAGTGAAATGGCAGCTACATTTATGTAGTACTCGCAGATAATAAGAAACTACAGCATACACTAAGTAGGTTATTCTTGTCTTCCAACTACGTAACAAAGGTGAGTCATCATGGTCTCAGCTCAAGTTTAAAACATCCTAGGTGCAAACAATTTCAAAGGACTAGTTCATATGGGGTTTTGTTCTGATTTTAATTGGGACCCCCACTAATGTACGGTATAATTGGTCTCTCAGATTAATTAGTCTAGTGAGCCAGATGCCAAATTATCAAAAATAACAAATCCATTAAATTATTGATTTGAAATACCACATGATAGGAACTATTGAATATTACTGGTTAAGGTGAAAAAGATCAACATTCGACAAACATATGAGGGATTAGCTGTTGGTGACGATTGAAAGGAAGCCAACGGACACCATTTGCTGCTGTTGGAGGAAAAAAAAAAATTTGTGGACAACTGACACCATTTGCTGCTTTTCTTTATGAAGGAAATTAGTATATGGACATGGTAATGACCTTTTGAATTAGCAGCTGAGTGAATTAAGTACTTGATTGTTGGGAATAATCTGCTAATTAACAGGCATAAAAAAACCAATTAGGTTGAGAGAGAGAGAGAGAGAAACCTTGACATAATACCTTCCTTTGCCAAGGGTAACTTGTACCAGGGTGCTTTAACTAAAAATCCTCTTGTTTCAGTCAATTTGCTGTGTTTTTTTTCAAAATTAAAATTTTATTGATGCTGGGAAGCATGTAGAAGTAATTGTGTAGCAAGAACAGTCATGAAAATCACAATAAAAATACCTTTGCTATGAATTTTATTAATGATCAACAAAAACTTCAAATAATGGAGTCTAATAGAAAAATCCATTAAAAGAAAATCCTTGCTAATAAACCAAAAATAAATAAAACAAAAAAATATATATAAAATGACCAATTTGAGTTAAGATCGAATTTAGATACTAAAAACTTCAAGAAATATGTCAAAATAAATGTTAGAACAAAGGAATTTTTTTAACATGTGTTTTTTAATATAAAGATGTGAGTTTTAACCGATCAACCGTTTCGAATGAAACATAAGTGTTTCGAATCTAATTCGACAACATTGATCCGAACACTTATTTATCATTTTGTTGTTCGTGAAAACTAATCCATCTCCATCAATAATGCTTGTACTCCATTTGTAGCTTTAACCTTTTGGGATTTTTTTTCCATTTTGTTTACTTGCTTGTCCTTTTTACAGCCGTTCTTTTTTAGTGATTTTGGAAGTACTCCATCAAATGTACATGGCATATTATTTTTGATTCCTTTCTTCATCTAATCCAGATTCAGTGATAGAATAGTTTTAAATAATGGTATTGAAAAAGTATCAATATCGGTTGCAGCATAAGTATCAAAACATTTACCGAGATTTGGGCATTGCGATGTGAATTTTTACAAAATATCAACAATAAAAAAGAGTTTTATAATAACTGACTGACCATATCAATTATAGATTGATATGTATTGAAAATTGATCGTTATAAATGTGATTTTCAGTCTCAAATTTCTTTTTAGGATTTTGGGTGTTTGTTGATCTTGGCTTAGCATATGATTGGCTCGGGTATATGTACCAACCTAGTTGTGTATTCCTGCAATAGTGATGTTGATTTTGGGCCTAGGTCTTTTGCCTTTGATTTTTAAATTTTTTTTTTTTCAATCTACAAAGAAAAATTTAATGATGAAAATACTGAAGAATTACAGTGAGATATATCAAAAAAGAGCTGAGGCAACTGACATCACTATAATTTCTTTTTATTGTTAAAATAAATAAATAAATAAATGTGGTTTCCAGTCCAACACGTATACCAGAATTTAAATGTGGTGGATATTTAAATCTCATGCATTGGATTCCAACCAATTTGGACAGCTAACCATATGATATATAAAAATAAAAAAAATAAAAAAAAATGATTGTCTTTTAAGAGAGTGAGTGTCGCATATGACAACACCTAGTCCACTTGAAACCATTTTTAAATCTTATCTACAAGTTTCATGCACTTCATTTGAAACCACCTGATAGGTTTATCTTTATCATTATAATAAGTAAAGTAAACTAATTAACAGGACTCAATCACAATCAACACAATGCTAAAAAACTTTTACACCCAATGCACAAGACAAAGGGACAGCCATGCACACTTCCATGTTATTGATGACAGAATAATATTACTACATCAACTAACACCTAAAGGCTACAATGAAGAAAATTCATTTGTATTTGAAGCTCAGAGTTTTAAATATCAATATATATTGATATTATCTGATATCAGCTAATATATGATTTATTAAACATTCCAAGAGATTTCGAAAATGCTAGACTTGTCCAAGTTGGTATAATTGAGCGAACGCAATCTCTTGTTTGGGGTTATTATCGGGACTTGTTCATCCATGGCTCCAATCGACAAAACCCTTTTGATTTTATCCAGCGCGGCTTTCATGGAGACAATTGTGGGGGATTGGATTTCGGAGTTGATGTCGAAAACAAAGTCGTTTGAGGAAGATTGGTTTTGGAAGTCGAGTTGCGCACTATGTTCATCTAATACTTCTCCTTCTTGAGGAACCATTAAGTCGGAGTCTTTGAGGTAGTTCATTTTTTCCATGATGTCTTTTTCTTGGAATTGACCGTGGTCGAGTTGATGAGGGAAGCTTTTGTTGTTGTTGTTGTTGCTGCTGCTGCTTTCTCGGCTGTCTTTGGTTGGAATTGGTATGTTGCTCTTTTGGCGAACCCGGCATAGAACCCAATCATCTAACTGTTAAATAAAAAATGGAAGAGTGGTTAATAATGATTTATGTACAAAACCTTGAAAGATGGATCAATAATGACACGTTGCAATATGAGTGTATTTGGTTTTGGTTTTTTGAAAATTAAGTATTTTGTTTTTCGTATTTTTTATTTTTATTTTTAGTGAATATTTTTAAAAATTTAAGTAATTTTTATATTTTATTTTTTTAGATGCACCTTACTTAGATATTTTTAAATAGTAAAATATTTGCAAAAAAAATATTTTAAAAAATTAATAAATATACAAAAATATAAAAAATGTACTGAATTTTTTGTATTTTTTTATAAAATTTTTGGTATTTAGTAAATATTTTAAAGATTGTTTTCACAAATATTATACTTTTTAATTATATTTATGTTAGGTGTGTTTAAAAATTAAAAAAATTATTTAAAAATTTTAAAAAATTCAACGAAAACAAAAAAAAAAAATACAGAAAACAAAAAAGTAGAATTTTCTGAAAAGTAAATTCTGAAAACTGAAAACAAACAGAGTGAATAATCTTTAGGGTTTTAGTTAAAAAAAATTTAATCTTTAGGGTTTGACAAATGTTTTTTTATCAACATTTTTTTTTTGTTGGTTTTTTTGACTAATTGATTTTATTTTTTTTAATTTCATCATCCTTTAAAAAAAAAATGAGTTCTCTTAGACTAGAAGACTTTTACAAAAACTTTTAGAAAAATTATAAAATTTGAAAAAAGTTTACGAAAAACAAAATTTTCTTTTCTTTTCTTTTTTTTTTTCAATGAACTTCTAATTTTTTTTATAATTATATTTTAGTTTAGAAAGACTTATAAAGATGAAAAAAATGACAATTTAAAAAAAATTCCATTAAAATATGAACACAAATTCTCTCTAGTCCACACTACACCATATTGTTTGGGTCCATGAGGCCCACCATAAGTCTCATCTTGAAAATTCAAACTGATCATTTTTATACCATAATGTGTATAAAATATTTATGTAAAAAATCAAGTTTATCTGATAATAGTAAGCATGCTTTTTTATGACATTTGTTTGTTAGAAAAAAAAATGATAAATATTACTTAAAATTTAGACCATTTACTTTTTAAAAGATAAATATAATAAATTAACATGGTTCAGATCGACCTAAGAGGTAAATATTGTGGTCTAAAAACTAAACTACTCGAATTATCCAGATGAAAGCCGTGGACCCAAACAAGATGAACCCAAGCAACATGATTAAGACCTCGTTTGGAACAAATTTTTTTAATAATTTTTTGATGTTTTGATTAAAATGTAATGTAAAAAAAATTAATATATTTAAGATGATTTTTTAACTTTTAAAAAAATATATATAAAAAATAAAAATAATAAAATTTTTAATATTTTAATATAAATTATCGACTCCTTAATTCAAAAAAAGTCACCTGTCAAATAAGTGCTATGTCCCCGCAAAGAATCTGGTTCCTTAAATATAACCAACAAGACAGTGCACGCCCAGAGAGGGAGAGAGAAAAGAGGTAACACTATTTTGGTCAAACAAAACACCATATTGGTTGTAATAAACAATGAATATTTTTATTATTTTTCTTGTTAAAAGTTTCGGAAATTGCTCCACGTTGATATATAAAAAATCATTATCGCATAAAGTTGATGAGAGCATATTCCAGTTCATCTACCTTGGACATGTTTGTTTAAGTGTTAAATCTCTCTTTCCTTTGCTAACCCTTTCATATAATTATAGAATAGTTTCAAAATATTAATTAACTTGTTGATATGATATTTTTCATATATTATTTTTGAAATAAAATTATCAATCGATGCTCAAAGTCAAACTAATTTATAATCATAATATTCGATTCTTGATATGCATTATTTGACGCTCTTAATATTGTTATGACACAACTAATAATAATATGCATGGCTCCATCAAGAGTAATAGTCACGTGTCACGATAATATTTCAAGAATTTGCATAATTTTATGGTTAAACTTACCCTCATTGATCCTCTAACTCTCATGGAGTGACGACTCTCATCGAGAAGTCTATACTCGTACATCATCCAGTCGGTTTTGATGCCCTTCGGAGGACGACCACCATAGAACACGAGAGCTTTTTTCACACCAACACACTGTGAGCCATACGATGAAATGATTGGCTTGTCGGTTCCGGTGGCTTTCCAATACCCAGATGCGGCTGCTCTGTTTGGCCGAGCACCGTTTGGATATTTTCGGTCTCTTGGGGTAAAGAAAAACCACTCGCTCTCCCCAAACAAGGCCTTGTCTGTACACAACACAAAATTACAACAATTAGCATCATCCAGATCAAGCATATAGAATTGAAAATTAAAAGATCAATTCCAATATTCAACGTAGTCAAAAAATTTAAATTGTGCAACATATCTATATAGAAGGATGTGTTAATTTTATATTTATTCACTTCAAATTATAAAAATTTATAAAAAAGTTTATTTTTCGAAACTACCATTGACTCATCATTATCATGGATTTTTTTTATACAAAAATTCTATTTGCAAATTATTATTTTCTTTAAAAAAATATACATAAAATTTATATGGAACAACTTGACTGAGTTGTGGTAGGTCACTTTAAAACAAAGAACGTTCAAATTGCGATTTAAATTATCAAAATGCCACTGTTATATTCTTTTGATGAAATATTTTGTATAAAAATTTAGATTAATTACACTTTACTCCTTCACTATAATTCAATATTATTTTATTTCTTTTTATTTTAAAATCGTACATTTAGACCATTCAAGTATCAAAATTTCTTTACTTTTACTAGTCTAAAAATGGGATCGGTATACAACTTTTGATAATCGAGGATAAAGTGAAGTGTAATTAATTTTTAAAATTTTAATAAAATGGTATTTTTCAATGCGAGATTCCCATTCTGAATTTATATTTTCTGATCTCAAAGCGCACTTATCTTCTCTATCCTATCTCGATATTTCATTATTTCCAGATTTCCACGACAACAAGGTGCTGTTAAGATTACATTGAGATTTTGTGAACAGAAGATTAGATTCATGACCATGTTTCCCGAACTTGTGTACGCACAGAGAGAGAGAGAGAGAGAGAGAGAGAGAGAGAGAGTACCAGGAAGGTCCCAGGGGTTGAACTTATATAGATCAATCTCAGCAATAATGGATACCATAGGGCTAGTAGGCGAATTCACCTTCTTTTTCAGATAATGAGCAATAAGCTCTTCATCAGTTGGATGAAACCTAAATCCAGGAGGGAGAATAGAAGTTGACATATTCATCCCTTCCATTTCAATTTTCAGAGAGATTTTAATTTTAGAAAAATATATTTAAGATATATTTAATTTCCAAACTCTCTTCAAAGTGCTTGGAATGAATGCATATTTATAGGCAAGAAAATAAAATCGTATCAAATCTTGGGTAGATCACCGTTGGATAAAAATAATCTTTATGTCATTGTTGGCCTCTTGATAATATACACTCTTTTTACCTTTTTTTGGGGTGATATGTTGTGTTTTGTTATGCTATTCACAATCACAAATTCATTTTGTTTATTATCAACAAGACTTGCCTCACATTTTGATGACAGATTTTGCTACTCTTTTTTTTATTAGTAGATCTAGATGTTATCGGTGAGACAAAAAAAACTTTGGCATCGCTTTTCATTTTTGATATATATACTTTTTATTTTTTGTGTTTTCAAAAATAGAAACACTGAAAAGTTTAAAAAGGCTTGTCATTTTTATATTGGGTTTATTTTTGTAAGAAGTTTTTTTTAAAAAAAATTCAAAAACAAAAATCTTAAAAAAGACTATTTAAAAAAAAAAATCATGAAAACAAGTTTTTTGTGTTGGTTTTTGTTTTTCTACTTAGAAAAATATAAACATAAAATGAAAATCGATATCAAATTACAATTACATCTAATTTAGATTCCAATTTGAGCAAATTACATCAAATTTCATAGCCATTTAATGTTTAACTTATGTAATGTGCTGTAAATTCTTTGATGTACAATTAACCAACAGAAGAATGCCACGTCAGCTAATTTATGGTTGCACATAAAGAATCACAGTATATTCCCTGTTTCGTCCTGTTTCTTGGTCCCTTACCGTCTTCCCCCATTCTGGTTTCCTCCACCATTGAACATACATAACATAAAACAAATAAATGTTTGTCTTGTGTAGACCCAGTATTGTCATTATTTTTAGTGCTAGATGGGTCCAAACCACTCTTTCATTGGTGACAACCCCATTAATTTATTTTAAAAAAATTAAAATTTAAATGTAATAGATAATTTTTTTTAATGTTTTTTTAGAGAGTTTGGTTGACTCCAATCATCTATAAGCAATAACGCTCAAACATCGCTAATGGCCACAATTTGAAAATAAAAATTGTAGGTGAATTTTATCATTTGTTACGTCTTATGTAAATTCACACTATAGGTGTAATTGGCACATTTGTTTTGTCAAAAAAAAAAAAAAACACTAGTGAGATTAATTATATGATGTAGCTACGGGTTGTTGTACATATATGACATTTTTGATGTAGCTACAGGTTGTTGTACATATATGACATTTTTGTTGATCCGTTTTATGTCGGGTATTTCAAAACAGGCTTCCTACATTGGTGAATCCAAAAAAATCTTTTAACTAAAGAAAATATATTTGGTGATGAATCAAATTTTGTATAGGAGACACAAAAGGAGAAAGACTAGTAAATTGAAGACGGTAGGGACATCGGATTTCAATGCCTTTATCCATTGAGTCGTGTGATTTTAGAATGAGGCGTTGGTCTAGTGGGTTTAGTTTGAGGTTTGAGAGTGTACTTCTTTCAGATTTTATGTTCAATTCTTGTTAAGCTTGCGGACTCTGTTCAAAATTTGCGCATTCTACATTGAGAGAGTGCTTTGCGTAGGTCTCGAGATTAGTCCAGATGTGAGTAAGCTGACTCAAATATGTGGTTATAATAATAATGATAATAATAATAATAAAAGAGTTGTGTGATTTTAGAGATTATTTGATAACTCAATAATATTTTAGTGAAAAAGTTAAAAAAAAATTATTTATAAAGTTAAAAAATCAATTACTATATTTGGTTCTAGAAAATTGAGTTTTATTTTTTATGTTTTTATTTTTGTTTTTAGTGAATTTTTTTAATATTTTATGCAATTTTTTTTTGATACAATTAATCTAAAAATGCTTAAAATGTATAATATTTATGAAAAAAATCAAAAAATTTACCAGATACAAAAAATACAAAAATAAAAAATAAAAAATTTAATACATTTTCTTATTTTGTTGTATTCAATGAATTTTTTTTAAAGATTTTTGTACGAATGTTTTTATTTATTTTTAACTATATTAAGATAGTGAATCTAAAATTTTAAAAAAATGATTAAAATACTTTTAAAAATTACTAAAAATATAAAAAACGAATTGAAAACTCATAAAATTATTTTTGAAAATTGAAAACCTAATCAGATGAATAACTTTTCAACTCATACAAAAAAGTTAAATACTTATTCTCATTCACTACCTTTTACACATTTTTTAAAAAATAAAATATCAAAATTTTTTTGGGTTAATTACAAAAAAAATCTCAAGATTGCACGTATTTTTCACTTTAAACTTCAGTATTTTAATTTTGACAAATTAAACCCTACAGTTCCATCTGTGTTTCAATATGCCCCTCTGTCTATCTCCGTTTACATAAGGTAATAGAGAATGAGACATTGAAGTTTAAAATAAAAAATGTGTGAAACTTTGAATTTTTTTTTTTTTTTTTTTGTAGTTAACCATTTTTTTTTACAAATTAAAATCATTAAAAACTAAAAAGGGTTAATTACAAAAAAACCCCCAAAATTTCATGTGATTTTCACTGTAAATCCTAGTATTTCATTCTCCATTACCTTACACAGACAGAGATGGATGGAGGGGACACTTTGCAATACGGATAGAATTTCAGTATTTAATTTGTCCAAATTAAAATACTGAACTTTAAAATAAAAAACACGTGAAACTTTGAGTGTCTTTTTTTTTGTTGTTGTAATTAACCCTTAATTTTTTTAACCTTATTTTTAACTAAAAAAATTACTTAACAAGTCACTCTCCAAACACCACTGCAAAGTCAAACTTATGAATTAGAATTTATCCAAAGAAAAAAATAGTTCAAATTTATTTTATTCATAAATCTCATGCTTCATTAATTTAGGCATATTTTGAAAATTATGCTAAAAGTTAATTTTTTAATTTTTTTTGAAAAAATGTACAAAAAAAAGTAAAGAGATAAAATGATCTAAAAATGTAAAAAAATCAATAAGATGACTTTCAATCATGTTGTCAAAATAAACTTCATTTTCTATCACGTAAATACATTCAAAATAAATTATAAATTAATTAGAATAGTTAATAGCATTTTTCATCATTAAAAATCTACCCCAAAACGATAATCGTTAGCATATTGTACTCCCAGTACGACCATGATTGAATTTGGATGGTACTGCAGGTGAGAGCTCTTCTCAATTGGTTTGTCCATTCTTTTATTTTTATTTTCATTTTTATGATCGCACACTAATGTTTAAATTTGGGGAATACAATTTTAACATAGAAGACAAAAATAATTTGAAAATAATTGGGAGTATAAGGCTTCGTTTGAGAACAAATTTTTTTAGTAACTTTTTAATTTTTTGACTAAAATATAATGTAAAAAAAATTAGTATATTTGTGATGACTTTTTAATTTTTTATAAAAAGATGTACAAAAAGTAGAGATAAAAGAAAATCTTTAACTTTTTAATATAGGTTGTTGACTTTTTGATTTTTTTAGTGATTTTTTGACTCTTTGATTGAAATCATCACTTGTCAAACGAGGCCTAAGTTTGGGCAAATAACAGGTCAGAGTTTTGACATAAATAGAATAAAAAAATGATAAATATTAATAATTAAAATAATACACTTTTTTTTTATTAATGTATAATAATTTTTAAATTTATCACTGAATGGTAATTTTATAAGTTTTTAGTGGATTGGTAATTAATTGTTAGATTTTGTTGACTTTTTAACTAGTGTGGATTAGTAATTTGTTTGATGATATAATATATCTCATATTTATAAAGGATTTTTAGTTTAAGTTCCCTAATATTAAGATTTTATAAGATAAATGACATATAATATTTTTATGGTAGTTGGAGTGTCTCAACATTTTCATAGAGAAATTTCAACTCTTTAAAAAAACTTTTACAAAGAAATTTTATTTTTACATGAATTGAAATTTCTCTGTGATGAGTTAGAATTTCTCTGATAATATTATTGAGGGATTTTAACTAGTAAGAAAAAATATATTGAACCTCTACAACTACCAATAGTTGGAGATGAATGTTACACTAATTTTCTCTATTTACAATTACTTCCCTATCAATTGACCCCCTAAAAAAAAAAAAAAAAAAAAAAACCTACACAAGTTTCTCACCATTATGATGTCACACAATAATTATTTTTGGTGAATATTTGAGGTGCAACTTAGCTTAACCTAAATAGCCTGAGCTTAACTCAAAAATTTAAAAATTGAAAAACACATTTTTATTGAGTTCAGATAGAAATTTAGAAGTTCAAATTAAATTTACACCGACTTTGATAGAGAAAAGGTGCAACTCAAAACCTGAATTACATATAAAATATATAAATATTTAAGATGTCATATCACTCTTTCTACTTTTTTGCACATCTTTTTATAAAAAACTAAAAAGTTACTAAAATAGCCTATTCTCAAATGTGGGTTAGCTTTTTGATTTTTGGACCTTTTGACTATTTTAGCCTGAGGCTAAAAAGCCTTGTTTGGGATAAGCTCTTTGATTTTTTTTAAACTTTTGTGAGAGAAAAAATAAAATAATTATGGTTTGGATGTGATATTTTGTTTTATTAGACTAAAAAGCCTATTTTGTTTTTTTGGAACTATTTTAGCCAAAAAGTTCCATTTTAACTTATGCCAAACGAAGGCTAAGTTGCTAGATTATATTCACTATACATTAGGGCTAGGCATAGGGTTATCCGAACCGCCCAACACACCCAATCCGAACCGATCCGCATACAAATAGGCAGTTTCACAGACACAATGTGGGCGGATGCGGTTTGAAATATGGCATTATTGTGGGTTACGGGTTTTACCTGCACCCGCAAGAACTCGCCTGCACTTAGATTTTTTTTATTTAAAAAAAAAGAAGAAGCCTAGACCGTTAATTTCCTCCATCCTATCCTAAATATTTTTGCCCAATAAACCAAATCCTAATCTCTTAACAACAACAGTACTGAGCAGACTCTCTCTTTTCATCTCACTCTTTCACTCACTCTTGTTCATACTTATTCTTCCATCTCTCACTACAAGAATTTTCACTTTTGGCTACTAAATTTTTAGTCGCCAAAAGTTAATTTTTAGTCTGAAGGGTTTCAGCGACTAAATTATTTGGT